TAAAGATCATTTTTGTGAATTTGTTCCAATCCACTGGATATTCCCCAAAGCATATCAACAATGTCTCTCCAACATAATGTCCTCATAGCATAATCAAGGTATTGATAAAGGTTTCCGTTTTCATAGAATCTCATGACAAACGTGTAACAATCTGTCGCATCACGCAACAATCTGCGAGAGATCGATTTTTATTACACTTTTGGTATATGAGAATCTAAAACAGTTTTTTTCACATAAGTCACGTTGAACACCATAGGCCAATAAAAATTTGTTATTTCGACCCTATTCAAGTATAGCTTTGAAAGATTTTTTGAATTCTTGATTTTTTTAATGGCAACTTTGGTAGGACCATTTCTTAACCAGTCTTCCACCTCTTCGTCCCATATTCGTCTAGGCCCCTCTATCCAATAGGCACAATAGACCGTGCCAAATCCTCCTTGTCCCGCATATTCAACAACATCAAAATGATTCCATGGAATCCATTCCAGGCAATCAAAGTGTTCTGTTGCATTTATTATTGGATTATCTGAATTAAATTATCGAGGTCTTTATTTCCACTTGTCCAATTAGAAAACCTGGCATGATTGGCACCATCCCAGGGTAGTACGAATTCTGTTGCATTCAAAGCAGATTCGCATCCGTAAGAACCGACAAAAAATTCAAAAAATTCAAAAAATTTTAGGTACCACTGTATATATCATATGCATGCAGAATACATATATAGAGTTATTGACGTTACTGTTCCATTATAATATGCAAGCTCTAAACACAGATCTCTTTCACTTTCGAAATCCTTGATGTGATCGACGAGAAAACAATTCATCGCATTAAAAAAAATAATTTCCCAATTGGGGCATGAATAGGATAGTTCTATTTATTGTTTGTATATATATTCCGTCATGCTGTATATACTCAGAGTATATCAAGGACTAATTCAAAACAAAAAAAAAGTAATATTTCGATCAGTCTTATACGAGTTGTAAAGTTATAAATATTCTAACTACGAACAATAATGTCCGGCTTTGGGTTTTTAAAATTCAAGATTCTCTGGTAAATATTAAAATTCATTTTTAAGAATTGTCTTAATATATTAATTAACATTTTACCGTATAATAGATCGTTGTGTTAAAACATGTGACTAATGGTAGTACATGTAAAGTTCAGAAAGCGATACTAGAAAATGATGGTAATGAAACACCTGTCATCTTAAAAGAGGTTGATAATTCAGATGAAATGGAAGTTATTAGAGAGGTACATGATACGATGTGCGCGATTTGTTCAGTAATCTATTCCATGTAGAAAATACATAAAATACATACGTATTTGTGTTACATCAGGTATGCAATTACATACAGTATAGAGTATATATGTACAGGTTAACAGGCGTAAATAGCCTGATTAGGAGTAAAAAAAAAAAAAAATTAAGGCGTAAAAAAAAAAGAAAAAAAAAATTAGGGCGTAAAAAAAAAAAAAAAAAAAAAATTAGGGCGTAAAAAAAAAAAGAAAAAAAAAATTAAGGCGTAAAAAAAAAAAAAAGAAAAAAAAAGTAATTAAGGCGTAAAACCAAGTTTGGTATTCAACATTTGTGCCGCAAACCGCACCCCAAGACAACTTACACGTTCTTAACAATCCATTGTTCAATAGTATCTGGAATTATTTAAAGGAATTGAGTCACCGCCTTAGAATTTACATACAGTAATAAACGTAATCACTTCTAATTGCTATAATCTTTGTAAATGTTAACTTATCGTTATATACTCCGGGTCGATAAATATTGTTACGCAACGTTTATTTAATCATTGTAGAATAATATTTTATATTTTTATACCATGTAACTTTATTTTTATATTGTTCACGTTATCAATATAGTTAACATTAAAGATCGTTTAAAAAAACATTGTAAGCATGAGTAATGGTAACGTGACCTGCGCTGAGTAACCTGTGTTCGCGGAACAATTTTGAGATCTGACTGCCATGAAGATATTACCAAATCTACAGCACAATAGTGGGAGACATGTTATAATCACGTGATCTTATTAGCTGTGTATTAAAGGATCGATAATTAATGCATTAAAAATGGTATGTAATGGTTTCGCTGTATTCATTTTATTTATTATATATTTCATTTTTATTATGTTATCTCCTACTTATTCTTATGAAATAAATAAAAATTTATGTATAAAAGAAGGTAATAAAATACACGCCTCACCTGTAAAAAAATAACCAAATCTCCCTCCACTGTTACGCTAACTCTAGCGACAGACTCGCTGATCACCGCTTACAACATGTAACATTATTTATTGTACCTTTTCAATCTAATTTTTTTTTTTAATGATCAAATATATTAAGGTCATGCATAAAGTGTTTTGTAAATTCTCCATTACAACACAAGATTCAATTGTCATTTCTTATAATGAAATAGTATCTTATTTGTTGTTTCTTCTAATTGCTTCAGAAAGGTATTAAAGTCAGGGATCGAAAATTCTGTATCTTTGTTCATGTAATGCCTCAATATTAGATTTACCCTTAATAACATATCATTGTAACTTATGAAAACCTTTAAATACTGTAAATAAATAAATACCAAATAAATACTAAATTAAAAATGTTTATAATTAAAATTATCAATTTGTGTAAACAATATTTAAGGCGACAATTGATGTTACAGCTAAAGAAAAAACCATTAACAATCGGGTTTCATAATGATAAAAATTTTGGTTTTATTTTGGGAAGGCTTTCATAGTCCGATTATGGAATTAGATAAACCGTGTATCCGACTTTGGCTTAGTTGAAGATTTGGTAAATTCGACGTTGCGAAAAATTTGTTTCTCTCTTTTAAAAAGGTTTGATA